TGTTCTAACAATAGCAAGAAAATAAAAAATAGCAAAATATCGCTTTTAACCTTTTACAGTATTTTTTGTATTTTTGACTGCGGACTTCAAAATTAGAAAAATGAAAAAATGATCAATTTCTCTGACCATTTTCTTTTTTTCTATTTTTTTCTGTACTTTAAAATATGTAAATATGATAACGATAAGTAATATTTCCTTTTTCCGTTTTTGTTGGAAAAATAGAAAATTAGATTGGCCGAACTGTGCACGGACCACGGACCTCCGTGCACACTTCGGCCAATCCAATTTTCCATTTTTCCAACAAAAACGGAAAAAGGAAATATTACTTATCCTTATCATATTTACATATTTTAAAGTACGGACAAAAATAGAAAAAAAGAAAATGGTCAGGAAAATTGATCATTTTTTCATTTTTCTAATTTTGAAGTCCGCTTCAAAAATACAAAAAATACTGTAAAAGGCTAAAAGCGATATTTTGCTATTTTTTTTATTTTCTTGCTATTGTTAGAAAATGAGAAAAACGAAATAATCTCTGATTCCTAACTCATTTTTCTATTTTTCCGTTTTTCCCAAAAAATAGAAAAACAGAAAAATGAAAAAATGATATCTATTCGCACCATTTTTTCATTTTTTCCATTTTGTTCAAAAAATGAAAAAATAGAAAAATGGCATTGATATCGTCGAATTTTCCATTATTCTATTTCCACATGAAAAATTGAAAAATGAAAAATTGACAAAAGTTGATAAATATTTTATCGTTTATTATTTTTTGAATTTAAATATACCCAAAAAATGAAATCTATTTAAAAATATATTTTTCTATTGGACACTGTTTAAAGCGACAATTTTAACAGCAGTCCTTCAAGTCTTATATATATTATTTTCACGATTGTTTTGCAATCGCCAGCAAATAACAAGACAAATTTTGATGTAATTTTACCAAATACATTTATGAAGCAAATGTTTCGACAAAAACATTTTCCTGGCGTCGGGGCAAAGGGCCTGGGAATACGTTACATTCTTGGTGGGACCTTCAAAAGATGGCGGGCATTGAACAGGTTGTAACTGTTCGTTATTTAAGAGACCTTGTTGAAGAGCAGGAAAAAACACATAGAGAAGTAAGTGACATTTTAAGGCAAGAGCATCCTGGAGTGCAAGGACTATCCGAGAGAAGTGTCCGCCGGTACTGCGCTACGAATGGGATACGACGTCATGATTCGCATTTAACTCGTGGAGCTGTCGATGAGGTGGTGGCTTCTGCAGCTGCTGAGGTGAGGGTACATGTTTTTAACATTTTTAGTTTTGGATTCGTAAGCTATACGATATCCTTCCTTGTAGCAAACGTTTTAAGGTTTGCTAAAAGTTGTGAACTTGTTGTTTTGTTCACCTGTGTAGCGTCACTTGAGGCGTCACACAACAAGGAATGCGTTACTTTCTTGCTCCCCATTCTGGAACTCCCTGCCCTAGCATACCGTATTTCCTCGAATAATAGCCGAGGCCGATTATTTCTTTTTCTCACACAAAAAGGGGGCGATTATTCGAGGGAGGCGATTAATCATGGGACGGTTATTATTTGAGGAAATACGTTATTAGAACACCAAAAATAACGCTACATTTAAATCTTGACTAAGGACTTTCTTATTTGTGAAGGAACGTTTTCTTTGCTGTTTGATGTTTTTGTTGCCCTCCTATTTGACCAAGCATTGGCTTGCAACCATGGATACATTTTCGCACGGGAAATGTAAGCTTTGATTCTTGATTGTGCTAACTTATTGCATTGGTAGCTCGTATTTCCGTTTTGCTTGAAAATGGCTAGAGCGGTTAAGGCTGTATTGGTCTCTCTTTGCGTCAATGTCACGCAACAAAAGCCAGGTGGTTTATTGACTAAATGGCCGATTCAATATATTTTTTTAAACTTAAACAAAGGTTTTTAATCGTAAAGGTTGGTGCTACATACGGAAGAAAGATGATGACTGGCCACATCAAGCATTCGACAGGCTTGCGACTGGGAGTAAACAGAGTGGGGCAGGCACTTAAACGCGTTAATCCACGCTAGCACCATGAACGACAGACATCGATTACCCGCCACTTAAACCCTGTTCCGTATTATGCCGAATACTTTGGACACAAGCTCCATCTTGATCAAAACGAAAAGCTTATTCGTTTTGGCGTGACAGAGGTTATAGCAGTAGATGGCTATAGTTCCTTTATAACTGCTACATCGGTAATACCATTGAAAAATAATATCACCATCTACAGGGATGTGTTCAGGTTAGCTCCGACATAAATATATATTATTTGCACATTTTGCAGGTTAGAAAAACCCTCAAAACTTCTCACTTGAATTAAAAGGTACAATTTAATGATACGTCATCCACTTGTTCTATTATTAAGAAAACCATACTACGTCATGGTTTGTTTCACCAAGTGAGAGTGGACCATGGGAGGGAAGTTTATTTAGTGCTGACGGTTCAGGATCACTTAAAGGAGTTACGGAATAATACATCTAGACAGCCGTACATACAAACACAGTCAAAGCAGGTACGTGGTAATATAAAGGGGAGGAGAAATGAACCGGTTATTTTCTAACGTGATCCGTGGGCGTGGACCTGAAAAACCCAATTTTCGCAGGTTTTCTAAACAAGGTGTTAAAGAAAATGAAACTCCTTACGAGCAAGTTGGAAAGCTGACGTTTTCAGTGCTAGCTCGTTGTCAACAATAACTTTAGGCTGCAAGTCCTCCGTGACACATTCTTGCCTAGGAGGACCTGGGACACAGGATTTGAAGTCCTAGATTTTAGGAATTCCGGTTATTTCCGATTCAAAAGTAAGTTGGAGGATTCTCTTTTATTAGCTTTGAATCACCTAAATTAACAGGCTTTGACACTTTGGAAAGAGCAACCGAACGCTATCAGAACCGTTGTAAAAAATCAGAAATGACCCGGAAAGCCCTAAAATCTAGGACTTCCATCCTCAGGAGACCCCAGGGGCAGATAAAGGGGGCGAGGGAAAGTCTAAACGGGCGGAAATATATATGGATGGAAGGAAGAAAAAAGAACGAACGGCGAGAAGAGCTCTTCTCGCCGTTCTTTACTTTTCTTCGTGCCACATTTTTCCGCCCGTTTAGACTTTCCCTCGCCCCCACTATCTGCCCCTGGGTCTCCGAGGATGAGGACTTCCGACACTCCTGACCCTCGTGCTCAGGCCCCCAGGAGTCTTTGGCGAGTCTAGTATTGATAAGTATTTGTTTTACTATTATAATTCTTAATAAAAGAACCATGCTGTGGAACGGCTCTGGGTAGAGGTTAACTGTCGCACAAACTATCCTATAAAGAGAGCACTCGTTCAAATGGAAAACGATGGTGTCATATATTGATATGGAGGATGAAGCAACAAAGTTCTGTGTCTCTTGGGTGGCGAAGAAAGTAGTGGAAGTAGGACTGAGCTACGTGGTCAACTCATGGAATTCACACCCCATTCCAGGTAAGGAGTCCTACTGTAAAAAAAATATACAACAATAAAAATAACAGACTAAAATCATAATGTTCCATTGGATGAAACACACGTTCGCGTACGGCTCAGCTATTGCTGTAAGTCGTCGGACTATTTCGTTCGCTTGGCAAGTGAGTTGGCAAGCGATAACCCATTGATACACGGGACATTTTTATAACCCGCGTGGGGAATTCTCCCTGAAATGAATTAAGGATAACCCTTCCGGATTAGTCATACTATTTTTTCAAAAAGTAGAATAGAAACGTGAATGCGATTGTCTACAGATCTCTAACCGCAGAGACTTCCCTTATAAGCGGATAGCTAATTTATGTATGTCGACAGTTTAGTCCAGAAGAATAGTAGCTCAGATCTTTAACTGACACCAACTTGCTTTAAAATTGTGAAGGTAAAGGTGTTCCACTACAACGACGATGTACTAACAACAAGGCCGCTCCAGTTGACGGCAATGTAGTACCAACAGTCGAAGCAGCTGTGCAGATGTTTCGCGGCGATTTGACTCAAGAACACTTCTTTGGAAGCGATCCTTTGGCGGCCAATATTTCAAAAGCAGATGCCAGAGAAAGAGAGTTCACAAAATACTTTCCGAGTTTCAGAGTGTTGTTTAATGAAATTGCCAATACGAACTATAACCCTTTCCAAGATGCTGTACTGTACTTTTTGAGGCTCACAGATTATCTCGCTCGCGCTTGAAGTTATAGATCGTTTCTTCAGTACTTTTTGAAAGTTCGCTTGAATAAAGAATTGAATAGAGGTCCAAATAATCGATATAAACGTGATCTATAAATTATAAACTGAAAATCTTTGACTTTAGTGTTGAAAAAAGTTTTTTTTTTTCACCGTTCAAATTGAAAGAGTGGCATATCTTCTAGTTAATAATTTGAGGAAATCGACGTCAAAAACATCATCAACAACAAAAGTTTATTCCACCTCAGAATTAGTTATTAAACAGGAACCTTTGATCATTATCTTTATGTCCTTATATCATTAAGTAAAAATGAACTATTGACCTATGTCTGACTACAATCTTTCGGAGACAACCAAGTAGAAGTGGAACACTGCAGACTACTGGTTACACATGGGTATTGCTCTGTACATGTACAATAATTATACTAAGGCAGGAATTTCAACCACATCAAGTGAAATAGGAGGTAGTTACGTCTAAAATTTGAACTAAAAATGTCTATGATGAAATATCTTCTTCCAATGAAGGGTGTCTTGCTCATTAAATGGACTCATCGGGCTTTGAGATGATAACAGCGAAGTCTTCAACTCCTTTTAGAGAGAAATACTTTTCTCTTCCATCATCGCTTTTGCATACTGGGCAACGCCCATCCTGCCCATACCACCTCTCTACACAAGGTGTGCAAACAAGCAGTCGCTGACAGCAGCCAGAGACTGTGATAGGGCGTGCCATCTTAAAACAGATACAGCACTTAAAATTTTCTTTAATGCTAGTGGACAGTATGCTGTTACTTTGACACACTTTAGCTAGGTCATCCAATTTCTCTGATATTTCGTCCAGCACGTCCAAATCCAAAGGCTCTCTCTCTGGTTTATATCTTTTGTTTTTCCCTCTGCTCCTGTCCGCTTGTTTTTTTTTTTCTTTTGGCAATCAGAGAGGGTAATGGCGTAAATTTTTTTTGCTGGAACATTCCAGAAATCCTCGCCTTGAAAAAAAGGAAAAAAAATAGACTTTCAAACGATTGATATGAGCATTTTTACTTTTTCTAATTGCCCTATACAGTAGTTTCACTTTTACAGCACTTTGTTACGCCTCTTTGGTATCGTGTGTCAGTCCAAAAAAATAATCTGGCATCTCATTAGCTGATCGAAACCTTATGACTTAAACCCTTTAACTGCCAGAAGTGATCAGTAGATAAATTATCCTTATATTCTTAATTAATATATAATTGTGAGCAGACATGTATATAGATTAGAAAAACTTTACAGCAAGTCGCTACCTAAATATATAACCCAAATTTAACGTGCAACGAAAATTAATGTAAAGCAACTAAAAGAGTAGAAGTGCTTATCAGATCTTGTGAGTTAGTGACACTGTATGGGAACGCATTTGGCTGATGGTGGCTGTGTGGACATCTAGGGGGAAGTTAAATAAAGAAAAACGTTAAAGCCAAAATATAAATTTCAATAGTGTGCTAATTAGATAGAAGTGGCTGTTATCAGCTCATTAACTGAAACCACATACATATCTCTATGCGTCCCAATCAGCGAACAGCTCGCGAAGTGGCTTATCTGTTAAAAAAAGCTTACCCCTTGTCGACTCACTGTCCATTATTTCAAAGCCATGGACGTCCATGATCACTAAATCCTCGTCCATATTCAGATATTCTTTCACTAACTTTGCTACGTCGTTGACGTTGCATTCTTCCGGAGCTAACCTCAAATGAGCTGTGTGGGTCTTCACAATTTCTTTATCTTTAAAATGCGCTAAGAAGACCACTCTTTTAAAGCTCGGTGATGCCTTGTTTTTTCCTTTTCCCTGAAATGAAGACAACTTGCTGCTGATACTAGTGTGAGCTTTAACCTGTGTTGCGGTTGCTGTGGAACGCCCGATGCCAAACTGCTGCGGTGAAGGAATCAGGACTTCATTGCAAAGACCGGGCACATTAGAGCTTTCTCCCATAGCTTGGAGTGTAAGCTTGTCCTGCCAGAATGTAGCGTCAAATGCTCCTGTGATGTCACAAGGGAATCTAGCAATTCTGGTAAAGTCATCCTCAAGGTACAAAGTTTCAGGAACAATCTGAAAATAATGGTGAAATAAGTAATTTACAGTATAAAAAAGGAAAAGCCACGAGCAACTTAATTGCTTGAAGGCGCAATTTCAACATTCCAAATAGTTTTCATAGGCAGCATTGCATGCAAACGCTTTATGGGAAGCGCGCGAGGACTATCAGGCTTGGGTTTTGGTGCACAACCCATGGGAGACGAGACGCGGAAGGTGGCTTGGGCAAGGAAAACAGGCGAGAGACACCTTCCAAAATGGTAATTTGCCCCGGGCACATTCAGCTCTACTCCTATCAAAACTGTTTCGTTACAAGACATTACTGATCCCGCTATTAGTAAACGTAATTGTGTTTTGTTGTTTACCTAAAAAAAACTGTGGCAAAAATAATTTTGTGCGCAATTTTATGAGCAACACTCCTTTATGACAAAAAGTGTTGCAAAGAAAATAATTCAAAATGTATCATCCTTTATCTCAGCTTAAATCACAGGCGGCCCAGACGTAGTATGTGTCACTGAATGAATATATTAATATCCACATGGACAAATTAATGCGACGAGTCGTCGAAACTCCCATGGACTAAAATAGTCTAAAAGTCAAAATATAACAAAACAAAGCTAAGATACCTTCAACTGAACGTATCCTTGTCATTCCTGGCCGGTTTAAGTGGCATTTTGTTGAGTTTTGCAATTGTAGGTACTATCCCCTAAAGAAGAATTAAAGGCTGGCTACAAAACAAACAGACCATCTCCACGCGCCTTCACACGAAGCGCTATAAATTCGAGAATAATCGACGAATCCGCTCCAAATAACCATCGGCTAATCTGCAGGTAACGTGTGCTCCTGCTTCTGGCTCGCTTGCTCCACAAAACCCATCGCAACTGCACAATAATTGCTCGCTCATCAACAACCACTGTTGACCTTTACGCTTCGATGTGACCGCAAACGACCAGGTTTAATACGCGACGTGAATATTCAAGCTTAGCAACCGCGTTCGCGCAACAATGCAGCACTTGCTATGGGAGGGATGGTACTATTGCTTCTAGGTCAATCAATCGGGAAAATACACTGGACGAAAAATTGAATTTAATGATATTTGCCTTAAAGACAAATCTAAGACAAATCTGATGTCAGATTTGTCCACCCATCAAATGTCCCAAATGTGAGACAAATCTGTTATCACATTTGTCTTGAGGAAATGTGAGACAAATGTGATTCAAATATGCCATTATATTTGCCCTTGTACAAAGATATCTTAAAACAAGACAAATACGAGAAAAATAACTTTTTGACTTCTCGTTCCAGTAAAATCGCTATATGATTTTCCGAATTGTTTAGAAACAAGGCTGTTGTTTGTCTCATTAATTAATTAACTTATTTATTTGGTTGTTTTTGGCGCAATGGGTAACCCTTGTCAAGTACTCGTAGATGCATGTAGGTGTAGATATGTAGAAATTGCAATGAGAGATTTTCTGGCTAGCTATTATTGCGCCTTACTCACACTGGATCAATGCTCCGATCAACTTACCGTACTTTATACGCTGATTAAAACGTTTACAGGGGCTCGTTATATCGAGGTTCCACTGTATTCGAGTCAAGTCAAGTCAAGTCAACTTTGTTTAGGCAGAGTGGCCCTATCAGCCATTGGCTGGTATCAATAGGGGCCCTGCGTAAATTACGACTACACGATAAAAATTTAAAAATTAAAAATTCTTTAAGTGAAGTGAATAAAAGGGAAATTAAAAATTACTTTAAGTGAAGTGAATAAAAGGGAAATTACCGTCTCTTCATAAAAATCACAATTTGTTTATATCCATGTATTAAAAAGGAGTCTTTTGAAGTTTTAGTGTATGCTAGGAAGTTACCTTGCGTTGCAAGTGTGAGGCTCACTAGCCTTTTTTATTACCAAGATTGAAAAGTTGGATTAGATGTAAAAGGAAAGAATTCCTCCTCCCTTTGACTCCTTAAAACTGATGAGTTGTCAGTGTTTTGATCATTATGCTGTGCCACTGAAAATATGAAAGTTCAACTCTAGTCAAAAGACCAAAATTATTCAGCCATATGGCAGAGTCTTATTTGCACTACCACCCTACACTATAGGGTCTAAACCACATCACCATATATACCGCTAGACATAATGAAAGACCAAGGGACTAGAAAAAATGTTCTTCGTTATTTCGGAGTCCCACTGTACAATCACTGAACTCTTTATGTCATGTTTAAGCAATAACAAGTATAAGATAAATATAAGTAAATAAGTAAATAAGTACCGTGACAATTTTGAAAACTATAACTTTTTTTAATAATAAAAAGAATACTTTATTAAAATCTTATAAAAACTACACACAAAATTTCAGTAAAATATTCATATAAAGAAAACGTCCATATCAATAGAGTTATAAAAAATCAATTCAACAGTCCCAGTGGATGGCATAAAAGTCAATGCGCTGATTTTAATAAGATAAGGTTCTGATCCATGAGGCGAGATATGAATCTTTTGCTGTTAATTTTCCGTACCAATTTCCCGATAAAAAGACCTAACTATAGAAAAAAATAATAATAATACAGTGAAACCTCCATTGAGCGGACACCTTCGGGACCTTCCCAAGCGTCCTCTTAATAGAGGGTGTCAGGGTTTGTAAAAATTGCGCAATGTTTAACTTTCAACGGTTACTCTGTACTGTGATAAAGTTCCATGTTGTTAAGGAAGCTAAGGAAGCCGTGCTGTACGTTGTGCAAGACTCTCGGTATAATCTACAGTTTATCGACAGCCAAATGTATTGATTTACTTTTATTAATCGACTACAGCACGTTTTTCAAGGACGTAATCCAATACTACTATTGTTAATTCGGTCCGCTGTCCGCTTAATAGAGGTTATTAACAATAAAAATTAGCCAAATACAATTTATTTTAGTGTCCACGTCCGCTTAATAGAAGTGTCCGCTGAACAGGGGTTCGTTATAAAGGGAAATTTAAGACGTAATTAAAATTTCGGGACCGGTTTAGAGTCCGCTGAATAGAGGGTGTCCGCTTAATTGGGGGTTCGCTTCATAGAGGTTTCACTATAACAATAATTATAGTAAATATCAGTATTACGTGAAATCCATTCCAGAATTTATGCTTAAGTCCAGATAAGTGCTGCTGATAAGTACACCCTATTCTCTAATCCCTTCATCTTGATCGTCTTTTTGAATGAACGCGCGCGCGAATGCGCGAAAAGTACTCGCGTTCAGATATTGTGACGTTAAAGTTACGTCAGCGATAGAACGCCAATCAAATGTCCACGGCTACACGCGCGGTATGTTTGATCACCATTTTGACAGCGTCTTCAGTTCATTTCGAAAAGTTGTTTGTCACCTTGGCCCTTAGTTTTCGTTGTCTTTAGACTCGTATTTTATGGTTCGATCATGGCTACAAGCAGTCCTGCTGAAGAAAGACAACTTTTCCTGATGGAAAACATGAACAGGAGACTAGATTCTATTTTAGAGAGCCAGAAGAAACTGAAAGAAGCAAACGCAGCAGTTCAGCAAGATAACGTAACTCGCAAAACAGGAGCGACTAAATAACAGCAAACGCGGCTCAAAACTGTCACGCAGAGAATCTAAAGGAGAAGTTCCAATGGATTTAAGAGTAGGTTTACTTTCTTGTTGCTTTGATGATATAAGAAATGCTTTTGATCGTGAGAGTTTGTGCTTATTCTTTGGATCTGAACTGATAGCGTGTCTTCAAAGGCGCCGACTTGCCTGCGTTGTATCAAACATCACAGGAACCTACAACTTAGCTTAAAGCGCCCAATTTTTGAGGGACAATGTTAGTCGTTGAAGTGGGGCATATTTATTTCTTCTTTAAACAAAACGAGATCGATGGCCTGGAGAAAGCTGCTGTTGGAAGCAACCAAATACATGTATATTATGGATGATTATGGTTATCTCAAAGCAGAAGTCCTTATCAGGGTTATATGCTTCTGTCTCAAAGCTTAAGTTTAAGCTTATCTAACATGGCACTTTATTTGGTAAATTTACAACTATAATTTTTGTTTTGTTTCCAACATGCAGAAAGATGGTTGACAAAAAACATGACAAGTGGCTCTAAAGTGGAAGAGGAGTATGTTCACAAATTTATGTTTTATTTTTTTACCTCATGAGTGTTAAAATGTTTTTCTAGCCAAATGGCTGTGCTCAAAGAAAATTTGAAGGGACTGAGTCCATTGCTATGAAACTGAAATCCACACTGCTCAAGATATGGTTCCTATGAAAGACGTTCTTTAAGGCTGGGTTCAAATGTCGAATTTCACTTGAGCCAAACTTAACGCAAGAGTTAAATGCATGTGAAGTGCAACGTTTGAATCAGTTAAATAAGACTGTTTAAATTAAATGTGATGTTTGCCGTATCTGCGACTGAAACAGTTGAAGATTTGACTAAGGTTCAACTTTTGATTCAAACGTCGCATTTCACATGTGCCAACTTAATGCATGAATTTTGGTAAATTATTATTATATTACTGGGAATATTGACTTTTAACAGAGTTAAATTCAACAGAGTTTAGGGAGTTAAATTTGACATTTAAATCAAATGCCGCATTTAACTATTTAAG